CTGTTCAGTGTCACCTGTGTTGAAGAGCTCTATCCAATCCAGCAAGCACTGCAGCAGACGGAGAGTCTTGTTGTAAACATCTGCTCTTATCACCCCTGGAGGTTGTGGCCCCATCTCGATCGCTGTTCGGAGAGAGACACACAGCCCAGATTATACGGTCGACAGCAGAGATCCCCAAGACATGCAGCACTGCAGTTGTCCACATGCTGCTACAGCCACTCCAGCAACATGCCTGTAATTGTTCTCTTCCATGTGATCACACCCTGTGAGAGAAAGCCACATGTCTAAAATGCAGAGACTCTCGTTTCCCTGCTGACACAGAAGTGCAACTCAGTGCTGGAACGTGTCCCTAAGCTGGCTGCCTAGGGCTGCTTGCCTTGTCCACCCTTCTATAGGCCTGTGACCCCTAGATCATGCAGTGGTTGGAGTGATGTTAGATGTGCTGAACTGCACTGGACAGTTCATCACTTAAGGGATGTGGGAATCTAGAACAAGCTTTTGAACCATGTGTATCAAAGCGATACCCTGGAATCTTTCCAGAAACAGCTGCATGGGATCCTCCAGTTAGGACTGGAGTTTTACACAAAGAGTTGTGGGAGTATGGATCAAGCCACCCAGCCATCTCAAAGCCATGTTGTTGAAGCTGATACCCCGGATTCTTTCAAGACACAGCTGGATGAGATCTTATGTTTTCATACTCATATCATCAGCACCAGAGGACACAAGTGGAAATGACAGAAAACACATTTGAAACTGGGAACTGGAGTCACTTTTTTTAAGCAAAGGGTGGCAGGAGTGTGGAACAAGCTGCCTGGCCACACTGTTGAAGCCGATAACCTGACCTCTTTCTAGAAACAGCTGGATGTGATCCTCCAGTCAGGACAGGGGTCTGCTGATAATCTCAAATAAATATTCATATACCACTTGAAGCCAATATGTGGGTTTCATTCAAGAAACAGCTGGATGGGATCTTCGGACTACTTAGCTACTAATTACTGAACAGGCTGATTGGGCTGAATAGCCTCCTCTAGTCCGTGAGCTGACTTATGTTCTTAGTGGTCTATCAGCCCACCTGATAAGAGACTGTGAGCTATTTGATTTGTCACGCTTAATGTGGAGGAGGTTATATAACACACCACAAGCAGTTGACATTTTTAACAGTTTGAATTCCTAAATGTACCTCTTCCACCCTCAAAACATCACTCAGCGAACAGTCCTCAAACTATCACCGAAGTTTCTCTACTGCATCCTGTGACCCACACGACGACATGGTCTTTTTCAAACTGATCCCATCTATGTGAAGAAAAGCGTTGAGCCAAGAAAGACAACCTAAGCATTGCACCTCAGCTTTTTTGTGCCTTTGATAAGAATATTTACAGATGTTATCCATGAGCCTGAGCTGGGACTACTGGCCTGATTTTGGCCAGGTCTTTCAAAATTTCAATAAACGGAGGTTAACCAACTGCTCAATCTCACCACTAGAGGGGGGTGTTGTACTTGTTTTAGACAGTATTAGGCAGAAGATAACATAAATAACGCGATATGGTCGATACATTTACCAGAAGAGTATTATGGACTCTTGGTAAAAACGTAGTATCAGTCTCTTACAACAGGACCTCCGTTTTATATCTGATCCAAAGGCCGGAGCCCATGTGTAACTCGTTCGAGAATGACGCACAGTGTGAGACAGAGCCAGGGGTCGATCTGGAAATCTCTTGGTCAGCGTCCCTGACCTTACACAACACATCAACGACCCTGCTGCATGAACATTTACCTCTTCACTAATGAAACTAAACACGTTGTGCCTGCAGCAGTATCAGTGCTACGCTCTAGCTGGAAAAGACACAGGACAAAAAGAAAATCCACCCAACGGTCTCCATACCCCCACAAGCACCCCAAGGTGCAGAAGACAAACTGTAAGGTACTCCGCAGAAATTAATTCACCCCTACATATTCTGAGTTCAGCTGTGCTTTGCCCACATTAGAAGAACCCCCCATTTTGCTGTAGCTATCAAGGGTGCAACAGCAGAATCCTGCCCAGGATTTGAACCCGAGATCCTGTGGTCAGGTGGTCCGGATGGCATAGCTCTAATCACTTCTCCACAGGGCTGCCTCAGGAAAGCTCCTCGGTGTGAAGAGGAAATAAAGGAACAGCTTATCCCATTGCAAGATACATTGCCAAACCACACTGCATATTATTTCATATATCTTCCCCACTTTGATTTCTCCAGCCCTAACACTAATCCTTTTCGTTTTCTGTTACTGTTTTGTGTGTTTTTTTTCTTCTTCTGGGAAG